GTGCTCTAATAGGGTGATATGGTACTACAAGGTCATTAAGATAAGATGGGGCCTGATTATTCGATTATTTAATTTCACACCAGTTTCCCCATTATCCCAGTCTGTTAAACGTTTCCAAATTCACTGGATTTAAACTGAAGCCCTGCAACACAAAGTCTCTGCAGGCTCACTGACCTGCTCTGTGAAGCTGCAGCATCACTGCACAGAGTCACAGATTTTGTAGCTGTTTATAGATCTTCTGTTTTTGGTAACACTTCATAATACAGAGCTCAGCTTCTGTATGTTTCCTCAGGGAAAACGACCACGAGGATTTGTGTTATTGACTATTCTAACTTCACAATATGTTTTGGGGAAGGAAGGAATATTCCCAATAATTAGTTTTCCATGTTGTGCTCCCTGGTCGCCTTTGTCCTCCTTCCTGTCAGCTGAAATCTGAGTTTTAATGTATTAGCAGGAACGTTTCGTCACGTTCTCCCACCGACGGCTCTACGAACAGATGAACAGAATAAACTTTCTGGGATCATTTGTGGGTGTGAGCAATACAAAAATCTGAATTATGACATTATTTATTTTTTATTTCAATTAAAATCAATTTTAAGAGCAGCAGCAGACTGTAATAAATGATGTAAGTGACACTGCTTTAAACAGACAGCTCAGGAGGCGTGCGCCTCCTTCCTCCATCCTCGTGTCTTTGAAACAGTCGAGTTCAGACCACTGATTGATCTTTAATCTGATTTGGTGGAGCCGGTCAGTCCAGCCTGTATCAATGAGACGTCTGGTGGAGCTCTGTGGAGGATTTCACCATCACATTTGTTGGGAGCTGGTCTAAGCTCCCACAATTATGAAACCCCATCTTATAAACTTCCGTGAAGGATTTTTAAGCCTTTCTTTATCCTGAACTTTCACAAAGAGAACTTTCTGAATAGTATTTCCTGTCTCACTGGTACCTGAAGCCAATCTCCCCCAACACTGCATCGCTCTAATGTTTTAATTGTTTGATAGACTGGCCTCTAACAGGAACGTGACTGCAAAGACAGAAGTGCACCAGTGTGCACACTCTTGCTGTAAAACCATAGAAGTGCATCCATCTGATGATGAGTTCATGTGCAAATATTTATAGTGATATTTAATAATGCTCGTGTGAGTCGTTTCCTGAGGCTGGACCAGTTTCCTGACAGCCTCTGCTAAAGAATGCATCCTCCTTTCCTGCCACGCGGACAGAAACACTGGCCACTCCCTCGCAGCATGTTGCAGAAAACAAACTCAGGTTCTGTTGCTTATTTTTACTCGATCGCTCCACAGTCCAGATGTTTAATCCAAAAACAGGCTTAGATCATTAACAGGTAAAGGCTTAAATAGAAGTGCAACGAAACAATCCCTGACGATCTACATACACTTGAGGAACTCACTCACTGCTTGGAAACAGGTGAGACTAGAACAACACAGGTGAGACTAATCAGGTTACAGCACAATTATCAAGAACCTGAAGACACCAAAGCAGAGAAGTAAACTGACACCAGAAATTATTATGTCTGGCATAAAACCTTCCAAATCAAACATCACCACCACGGGACTTTCAGGAGACATGCAGTAACTCTGGGAGAGCTGGGCGGGGTTGT